ATACAAACATTAAAAAGGAGAAGCTGCATCACATTCAACAAAGAGTTCAACAAGAACCAAACATTTGATCTCTGAGCTCAGACTCACAAACCAGGGAGAGGCTTCCATCATCACACACCTCTGACAAACACCTCCAACCTTTCAGCACTTCCTCTACCAACCAGCACCACCAGGTGGCACTGCACCATCTGACCAACATGTTATTTTTCTTCTCATCTTTGCTCCTTGGGGCTGATTGGTCTGGAGCTCCATCGAATATTGTTTTAAAGTCCTTTCTGTCATAAGTAGATCATCATGGAAATCTAACTGAACTTCACTTTGATTCATTTAGTCAGAGTCCCTATTAAACTCTATTAAATCCATCCCACTCTTTCATTTTCCTTGTGAGCCGTTCTTAGTCAGGAGAATAATCAAGAGAACTGGGTAATGATCTCTGCCTCCAGATGAGGCGTCTAAATATTTAATGATCAAACTAAATATTTCTCTTCAAACTAAATGTTTCCCATCAGACTAAAGTCGTTTCTCCTCTTCCTCCTCTATCAGACCTTCTCTGCTCCTGCAGCAGGTTCCTCCATACCTGAGAGCTTCCAGTCTCCAGTCTGGATCCTTCAGTCCAGCCGACAGCAGCTTCACTCCTGAGTCTCCTGGATGATTGTAGCTCAGGTCCAACTCTTTCAGATGGGAGGGGTTAAAGGTCAGAGCTGAGGCCAGAGAAGCACAGCCTTCCTCTGAGACCAAACAGCCTGATAAGCTGCAGACACACAATTCATCACATGATGAGAAGATGAGAACATTGAGCCATAGGTGCCAGAATAGGGGGGACCAGGGGCCCATTTTTCTATGACTGCAGCTCATGGTAGGACAACGCAATTTGTCCCGAAACAAACCCACTGAATTGATTGACAGGAGCCATCATATCAATTGAACAAGAGCCTGACATTCAAAGTGCGTAACAGAGGTGACGAAACACCCCATGGCCCCAATACCTCAAAAATGAATCCGACGCCGCTGCGTTGAGGTAGAGCCCAAGGTCTGAATTGGACATTTTCACAAGAGGAAAACACACAAGAAACTGGAGCTTAAACTGTTAATACTTTGAAATATTAATAAAACTGTATTTCCTTTTGTAGATAATAAAAATCAACATTTCCCTTTCGATGGTTGAGAAAGTCTGACAACTTCTGATTGGAAAGATCTGCAATAATCTCCTTTGTTCTGTCAATAATCCAGAGTTGCACTATCAGTGGAAGCCTGACCTCCACTTTTCTTAATAACTTTCTTTATGATTCTTTCGCCTGGAGGAAATGAAAATTATCCATTATTATGTTTTGAGATTTAGCAGATTAATCATGTCACAGTCAGACATCAATTATTATATCAAATAATAATTACATCATCTTTGAAAGCAGGTAAATGACAGAAATCTGGTTTCCCCAGGATTGGTCACATTTTACCTGAGAGTCTCCAGGTTGCAGTTTGGACTCTTCAGTCCAGCAGAGAGAAGCTTCACTCCTGAATCCTGCAGGTTGTTGTTACTCAGGTCCAGTTCTCTGAGACTGGAGGACTGGGAGCTGAGAACTGAGGACAGAGCTCCACAGCTTTTCTCTGAGAGGTTACAGACACTCAGTCTGAGGAGACAGGGAGGAAAATCTGGTATTAAACAATTCATCAAAATTTATGTTCTTTCAAATCAACAATGTTTTTATTGGACAGAGAAGGAACCATCTGATTTTACACAACCTTTGTATTTGTTGTGAACTGGTTCATTCTATAGTTGGGCCTCCAGCCTTAAATGACAGAACTACAGGTAACAAGGAGGTTGGAAAGAGAATTATAAAATTACACAATTAAGTATTTTAATCCATTTCAATGTTAACATAAAGTGGAGGAGTTTTGCTGCTTGAATATGTAACATTATGTTCAGCTGCTGAAGGAAGTCTGTTTCTTTTTTGTGCATCCGCCCAGTGGGACACTTTGAAGAGACAAAGCACCAAAATATAAACTGAAACATGAATATTTACCTCATAATTAGCAGATTTCTACCCATCAACAATACCTGCAGTACCAATGTGTGTCCTTACAGAGCTTTGTTGGAGGCTTTAACCACTGGCAGCAGCTTCAGAAGAACATCCTCTGAAGCAGAGTATGTCTTCAGGTCAAACACATCCAGATCTTCTCCTGATGACACTAAGATGAAGATCAGAGCTGACCACTGAGCAGGAGACAGTTTATCTGTGGAGAGACTTCCTGAACTCAGAGACTGTTGTATCTCCTCCACGAGGGAACGATCATTCAGTTCATTCAGACAGTGGAACAGATTGATGCTTTTCTCTGCAGACACATTCTCACTGATCTTCTCCTTGATGTACTGAACTGTTTCCTGATTGGTCTGTGAGCTACTTCCTCTTGGTTTCAGAAAAGCTTGTAGGAGTCTCTGATTGGTCTGCAGTGAAAGTCCCAGGAGGAAACGGAGGAACAAGTCCAGGTGTCCATTTGGACTCTGTAAGGCCTGGTCAACAGCTCTCTGATGGAGAGACTTTAGTTTAGGTTTATTAAATAATGAAGATTTTTTAGATATTTGTGTTTCTTCCATCAGGTTGACTCCAGAGTTGATGAAGGTCCGATGAACATGAAGAGCAGCCAGAAACTCCTGAACACTCAGATGGACGAAGCAGAACACCTTGTCCTGGTACAGCCCTCTCTCCTCTCTAAAGATCTGTGTGAACACTCCTGAGTACACTGAGGCTGCTCTGATATCGATGCCACACTCTGTCAGGTCTGATCCATAGAA